CGTCAATGTCGTGATAAAGCTCGTACAGCTCGTGGTTCATTCTAATGCGGTAGTCGTCGCCAACTCGTAGAGGACCAAAGATCTTACGAAGAACTTTTCTCTCGAACACTCCCAGTGCTGCTTCATCATTCTGTGATAACGTCCATGCTTCTGCGCCATACAGAAGCACAGGGAGGATGAGCGACCTATAGAGCGTAAGTTTTGTTTGTCGAGAGAGAGCTCTACATCCCAATTGCCTACTGAGCCCATAGTAGCACCTATTAGCAATGGTGATTCTTCGTCTGATCTCCAGACTGACATCATTTGTATTCGTTACGGCGGTGCCAAGGTAGATGAAATCCTTGACAGAATCGAAAGTATAGTCGCCAGCCACTAGCCCGGCGTCCGAGCGACGCACATTTCTACCAGTAGCCGACATATACTTCGTTTTTCCCTCATTCACCGCTAAACCCATTCTTGCAGATTCCTTTTCGATAGCAGCAAAAGCAGCTGTAACATCACGCTTGCTACGCCCAATGATGTCAATGTCGTCGGCGTAAGCAAGGAGCTGGACACATTTGTAGAATATTGTTCCATTACGATGAACACCTGCCCTGCGCATGATCACTTCCATGACGAAATTGAAGAGGTCACATGATAAGGGATCACCTTGTCTGAAGCCTCGCACGGTATCAAAAGGTTCAGAGAGACTCGATCCTACCTTGACGGAGCTACGGGTATTACTCAGCGTCATTCTGCAAAGTCGAATTAATTTTGCAGGGATACCGAGCTCAGACATTGCGGCGTAAACGTGATCCCTAATGGGGCTATCGAAAGCTGCTTTATAATCGACAAAAAGGTGATGAGTGTCGATGTTATGTTCGTGGGCTTTTTCCAGGATTTGTCGCAGTGTGAATATCTGATCAATGGTGGAGCGACCAGGTCGAAAGCCGCACTGATAAGGTCCAATCAGTGAGTTGGCATGTGGCTTCAACCTTTCACACAGTACAGTTGAAAGAACCTTGTACGCGACAGGTATCAGGCTAATCCCGCGATAGTTGGCGCAAATCGTCGGGTCACCTTTTTTCAAGACAGGACAAAGGCTACTGAGATTCCAATCGCTGGGCATACTTTCATCTAACCATATTCTGCAGATAAGCTGATGCATGCACCCTATCAGCATATCGCCGCCGGCCTTGAACAATTCAGCAGGCAGGCCATCTGCGCATGCCGCTTTGTTGTTCTTAAGTCGCTGTATAGCAACACGCACTTCGTTATGGCTAGGTGGTGGAATTTCAACATCATCATTTTCGATTGGGGATACAGAGGGCATTTCTTCAATGGCAGAGTTGATGTTATCATCGCCAGATAGTAGTTTGGAGAAATGCTCCTTCCATACTTTCAGTACATTCTGCGTATCTGTAACCAGATTACCATTTTCGTCCTTACAGGTTGATGCACCAGGCTTAAAGCCTTGAGTCAGACGGTTGACTTTTTGATAAAATTTACGGGCATCATTCCTATTTCTACACACCTCGATTTCCTCTCGCTCGCGCCTTTCTTGATCTCGTTTCTTCCGTCTGAATAGGCACCTCTCTACCTTCCTCATCTCCCGATATTGTTCATGCACGGTTCGCGTTGCTGCTGACTGCAGGGTCCTTTTATAGGCCGCGTTCTTCGCAGCAGTAGCTTGGCGACACTCTTCGTCGTACCATTGGTTTCGCCGTGGGGGACGTTGGAAACCAAGGACATCTTCCGCTGTTGTGCGTAGGGAGTGAGAGATATTTCCCCACTGTCTACCGGCATTATCGGAACGGGAGGGTTGGTTGTTTAATCGGCTAGAGAGCTGAGCGGCGAAGGCTTCGGCTGTCTCTCGTGATCGCAGCTTATTAACGTCTAGTTTTTTCTGAACATTGGAGCGTACGTTGTTGGCGGTACTAAGCCGCATGCGTACCTTGGCTGCGACAAGGTAGTGATCTGAGTCGATATTTGGACCACGGAATGAACGTACGTCCAGCACACTAGAAGCGTGCCTTGCGTCAATCACGAAGTGATCAATCTGGTTTCGTGTTGCTTGATCGGGAGATAGCCACGTTGCCTTGTGAATATCACGGTGTGGGAATCTGGTGCTACATACTACCATATTTCGCGCCGCAGCGAAATCAATTAGCCTTAGACCGTTGTTGGAGGTTGATTCATGGAGGCTAAATTTTCCGACAGTTGGACCAAAGACTTCTTCTCTTCCAACCTTTGCATTAAAATCCCCGAGAACAATTTTAACGTCGTGGGCGGGACTGCGGTCATAAATTTCCTCGAGTCTCGCGTAGAATGTATCTTTGGTCAAGTCGTCCTTTTCTTCTGTCGGCGCGTGAGCGCAAATTAACGTGATGTTAAAAAATTTTGCCTTGATACGGAGTGTGGCAAGCCTTTCGTTCACCGGTGTGAATCGCTGGACTAATTTTGATAGTCTCTTGCTTACCACAAAACCGCATCCAAATTCACGTCGATTTGCATGGCAGCTGTAGTATACATCACAGTTTGCTCTTTTAGAGCAGCCTTGTCCTATCCATCGCATTTCCTGGATGGCGGTGACGTCAGCCTTACATTTATTGAGGGCTTCCGCCAGTTGGATAGAGGCACCTTCCCTATAGAGGGTCCGGACATTCCAGGTGCATATCCGTAAATCATAGTCCTTTAATCGTTTGCATTGGTCGTCAACGTTATTCGGTTTCCAGTTCCGAGGCATTCTTGCGTCCTTCATTGGTGGTTGATTTTACGTGACGGGTACCAAACCCTGTGCACAACCCAAATTTAAAGTCCTGGGGATAGGACTCGCCGTACGCACTATTAGTTCATTACCCAGCGGGTGCCAGGTAACTATCCAGGGGTGCCACGAGGAGGCTGTGCGACAACTTGGATTGAGGACAACAAGGATTGCGCTGGCATTTTCCATGTTAAATGCAATCAGACACGTTGCCTTGTGTACTCGCTCCCAGAGGGCACGCGGGCCCCCCGATCGCTTTTAAATTATATAAATATAATATACATATGTATTTTACGGCAAAAGTTACGGTGCTGGCATGCTACTGCGTATGGTCGGAGTTTTGTCTTTTCGTATATGAATGAAACTTCGTATGTGTTAATACGGATACTGTCCCATCCGTGGTATCAGAACGAACCATTATTTTTATTCAAGTAAATATTGGTGCACAAATTCGATCCTAAACTATATAAAACTGCTACGCCATCGAACCAAAAAATTATTGCACTATTTTCATTACATATAAGACTGATATTAAGCACTTATCATGATTATTGCCATTTTTTCATGTAGAACGTGCAACCATCAACGGTAACAATCCAATTTATTATAAATGGCCTGTTAATATAAAATTCTTGCCTTGGGAAAGAATTCAGTTCTTTTACTTTTCGAATAAAACCATTATACGTATATTGTAGAAATAGCCCGGATTTCTTTTGAAAAAATTCGACACCGTCGTTTTTCATAGACCTGCTTTAATGTCAATTTTACGTCAACAAAAGAGTGTTGCAGAAGCCGAGAGAAATATTAATCTAAAGATACAGTGTCAGAACTATAAATACAATGAATGCAAAAAAATTCTTAATTAAAGTTTTTCCAATTTTTGTGGTTACAAATGTTGTTAACATTTATCTTTAGCAGTTCCGTCTTTTAGTTTTAAATTTCTTGCTTTAATTATATGATTTGCTCACAGTAAATATTTTAATCAATTATTCGATAGAAGTGTTGTAGCTCGTAAAGGATGATACCTTTAAGTGACATCAAAAACTAGATATCACTTTCCTTGTTTTTATTGAAACACAATGAGACCTGTTTGTATTCTCCGTGTTGAAAATAATGAGCGGCACTTGGTTGTCTATGTAGATGAGTGACTCTGAGATGTAGTTGCCACCGATTCTCGAATCACATACTTTATCGTTATTCTTAGCCACAGTTTGTAAAACTTTTTTACTTAATAAAACCATTATTTTAGAACATTATGTATTTTTAAATAATTTGTCAGTACTTTAACAATCAGGTACTTTAACAATCAGCTTTAGAGATCAAGGTAGATAAATTTTATATTATATTTTCATTATAAATTTACATTTTAAAGTATGCATATAATTGAAATCGTGTCCTTCTATTGCTGTGATCTTCACAAGAATCTTTGTGATGCTATAACATGAAATAAGTTTAGTACATATCTAATATAATAATGAATGAAATGGTAGTAAATCAATTTTATAATAGACCAATAGTTTTATTTTAATTACGTATGAGAAAAAATTTAATGTAATTTCTTTACATGACTTCTTAGAGTTAAATTAATCAAAATTTTTTGTTATGCATACTAAAGTAATTAAGTCGACATGAGGATATATTGTCATTACTTCTTTAGATATTCCTTTGTTTCCATGATATAATATTTTAAACACAACTAAATAGTTATTCTATGTTAAAGAATTCTTCTATTTCATTAAAACATAGAAACAGATAAATAATGTGAATAAAGTGTCAGCTAATTGCATTGAAAAATTGAAATAAAAATATTAAAACTGTTAGTATTAAAGTAACGGACCCAAAACAATAAAATAATTTTACAAAAAATTTAAATATAAAAACGTATAGAATGCTATGTTACAGAAAAAAAACTTGCATTTTACTTCAGCAAAGCCTACACAATTATTATATTTATGTTAAGTCAGAACCTCAATATGTCTACATATTAATTAAACTGTTTTTCATCAAATCAGATTTTATTTCTTCCTCTTTCAATCAATTTGTACATACAATTTTTACCAAGTTTCATAAATTGAAAAACAAAATCTTTTTTTTTGAATTGTTTATTTAAAACATTTTTTTTTTAATAACATTTACAAATGTTTTAATATAAAATGTACTTCTATAAAGCTTTCCCTATCACAGACAATAGTATATGTATTTTTCTTGATTAATAATAATCTTAACAAATTTAACAAAATATTTAACAAAATGATTAACTAATTGAATAATTAAATATTGAGACCCATAAAGTGCAATTTGAAAGTCTTGAACACGCTCTCCTTTTATCTGATTTCAGTCTTTAAATATTTTTTACCAAGGTCTCCAGACTTGTTTATTAATTTGCAAAAGCCCTTGATTACAAATAGAACTGAAGCTTTTACTTGAAAGTGCAGGCGAACAACGGGAATTTTCACTGTCACTGGCATATCCGCTTGAGACTGGACTGTACATTGCAGTTGAAGCGATATGTGCTGAAGCGCCACCACAATTGATACTCAATGGTGTGTTAATGGCAGTGTGTGCTTCTTCTGCTGATTCCAATTGATTAAGACGTAAACCCAAATGAGTCATAAGTTGAGTGCCGAAGGCAACATCGACCTTGGGTAATGACGCCAAACAACGTGATACCTCGTTTGCTGCTTGTATGTAACCTGAGCGGAAACTGTGCTGTGACTTTGTGTTGTCCTGTGTAGAGTTTTGTTTTTGTGTCTTTAGCTTGCGTAAATGTTGTACAGTCAATTCTAAAATATCAGCCTTTTCCAACTTAACACTGGGATCACCACACTGCTGCTGCATACATTCACCGATTAAATCCTTAAGATCATCGAGACACTTGTTGATGCGAGCACGACGTTTACGCTCCAAAAGTGGTTTCATTACTTTACGATATTGATAAGTTTTTGATTCTTCATATTTTGTTGCCATTTTGATTTGTTTTTAAATTTAAGTTTAATTTTACGTAAATGGAAGACTTGTAAAGAGAAAATTACTTTGATGTTATTGCTTTAAGTGCTAAACTAAGAATGTTGCTGATTCCGTTGCCACGTCCGCCTTATATATGCGCACGTGTACTATATTGCAACTTGACTGCTCGTGCTTAAAGTACGCACAAAATGAGAGCGGAGCGCAGTCAGTTTGTGTTATACCAACAACAACACCTGCAGGAGTTTAAATGTGGCATGGTGGTGGGTTTTTTCATCTTCTTTTAAGGATTACAAACAAGTTTGTCTCAATTCGTTGCTCTTCTTCGTAGGGGTTGTTTGCGTTATTTGCGTTGCGTTGCTTGTTGTTATTGGTATTGATGTGGTAGTTCTGTAGTGGTAGTTTAATGCCTTGATCAGGTAATGAATTAAAAGCCTGCTTGCCACAAGCTGCCACTGCCGATTTTTAAAATCGTGGGAAACACTTCGCTAGTGAGTTTCCCACAAGATTTTTCTCGCTCCTTACAGGTTTTGTCGACAATTGTTCGGTGTTATTATCGTCAACACTCGTCCTTTATGGAATTGATAGTAACGTATCCAGTAACACAGTGG